ATGTTCCCATCTATCTATCTATCTATCTATCTATCTATCTATCTATCTTGACATGTTCCCATCTATCTATCTGTCTATCTCTCTCTCTCTCTCTATCTATTTATGACAGTCCGATCTATCTGTCTATTAATCTTTCATCAATCGTGACATGTTCATATCTATCTATCTATCTATCTATCTATCTATCTATCTATCTATCTATCATCAATCTTGACATGTTTGCATCTATCTATCTATCTATCTATCTATCTATCTATCTATCTATCTATCTTTATATATTTGGACGAAATAAAGGGTTCAGTTCGAAATTCCAATCACACCGAATCTAAGTAGAAGAATCACGAATGAAACTCTCATTGTGAATATGGCAACAAAGATGAGGACAAAAGTCCGAACAATGTAATTAGTGTAAATAGTTACAATACCTCACCTCAGAAGTATTGACAGATCCTGAAGAAGGCCCGGGGCGTACAACGACCGAATCCCCTGAATATGACAACAAAGATGAAGACAGCATTCCGAATAATCTAAATAATTACAATATCTCACATCGGAAATATAGTCAGGTCTTTCCGGATGTTATGTATAAGTGTTTGTTGTTCACCTGTTCGGTCGATGGTATTCTTAGCATCCTTCTGTAGAACAACATTAGAAAGACTGATATCACATGGTATCCATTTCTTTGTTTCTAACGATAATCTTTTTGGCTGTTCATAATTTAGGAAGGCATTATTCGCTCTCCCGGTCCGTCTTCGCATTTTGGTGTCGAACCTTCCGTCCTCTTCTACTACGCTCTCCAGGTATTTAAATGGTAGCCCCTGTTTTATGTCGGTACCTCGAAACTGAAATTTGCATGTTGGGCAAATTTTGCTAAGAAACTGTTACAGTTTTCAGTTTCTTCATAACTACGTAACGCCATTTTAAACTCAGTGAAAGTTAATTGTTTATCTTTTTTGAGTTATAACTGTCGTGAATGGTTTGAATGTCGGTGGCAAACCCTTTAAGACCATGGCTATTAGCAGCCCATCCGAGATAGTCTCACCTGCAATTTTTAAGGCATTTGTAACATTCTCAGCTCGTATAACATAATCTGTTATAAATTCATTTTCTCGTCTCTTTAATGCGGTTAGTTCAGTATATAAAGCAATAATTTTAGGCTTACCTTTTGACAAGTGGTGTTCACGAAAAAATTTGTAGGACTCGCCGTCCATTGTCCTTGACCTCTCTCATTATTAAAGACAAACTCCGGTCATCCAGGAATTGTATTAATTCAGCGAACATGGTCGCATTTCTTTCCATAAAATCATCACCCACCCCCGGTCGTCTTCGCAAAGGATGATGTCATGGCGTTTTTGTATTCTGAGGTAGCCTAAGAACTTCGTCTCCCACAATTCATATCTCGATTCATTCCCGTCAAAATATAGTCATGGTCTGCGCTCATAACCATTGTTGTTCATGATGACGGTCGTCTTCGAGTATAGAATCCAGAGGTTAGCAGTGAATATTTCGAAGACAGTAGGAAAGCGTTGTTCAGGTTAGCAGTGGATATTTTGGTAAAAGTAGCGTAGTTCGTCCTTCTGTTTCTCTTCGCCTGACAAGCTGGACTGGACATTCGGGTAGAGTGAACAAAAATGGCCGCCTTTATACGCGACGAATTGAATGTTCTACGTCTTCTGATTGGTTAATCTTCTATTGATGGACTATAAAGGGAGTTAAGTCATTTTGACTGGCTCACTAGTTACATACATACACAAAAAACTGTAACAGAAACATGAACCCAATCTTCTTGACATTGATATTCTTTACTGCTCTTTTTTTTATTCACTACATCCCGTAGCAATTATTGTAGTGAATATTTAGTCAGCTTGGTGTGCCAAATGTCATAGCAGCATTTCCGAGCATTTCCGAGCATCATGTAGGGCGCCTAGAACACGGCAAAGTGTAGTTGCTGTAAAATGAAGTTGACAGAAGATTCTGGAGCGATGTTCAGCTATGTCATCTCGGTAACTATCCAAAGTTTTCTGCTACAGTGTAACCCGGATATAAGAGAGTTGTTGGGACCTGAGAAGAAGTCTCTTATATCCGGGTTTGGTCTATTTTATATACATTAACACAGGCTCTAATTTGGGACCAGAGAAACTCTCTCTTATATCCGGGTTTCTCTTATATCCAGGTCTTTTATATCCGGGTTACACTGTATTTTCCCATAGCGATTGGTCTCATTTTCATATACTGATTTATTTGTTTAACGGCATATCGACTCCTGATGGGTCATTTTATATGATTTTGAGGGTATGATTGTTAAGTATTTTTTCGAGATGAGCCTGTTAAAGATTACTCCATGGTGATGCCTTTTTTGGCTTTGTAAAGTCCGACTGATTATTTTTTAACGGCACATCGACTCCTTATGGGTCATTTTATATGATTTTGAGTGTATAGTTTGTTAAGTATATTTTCGAGATGAGGCTGTTAACGATTATTCCATGGTAATGCTCTCTTTAGCTTAGTAAATTCCGATTTATTGTTTGTTTAACGGCACATCGACTCCTTATGGGTCATTTTATATGATTTTGAGGGTAATGTTTTTAAGTATTTTTTCGAGATGAGCCTGTTAACCATTACTCCGTGGTAATGCTCTTTTTAGCCTAGTAAAGTTCGATTGATTGATTTTTTAACGGTATATCGACTCCTTATTGGTCGTTTAATGTGGAAATTTAATTTTCTTAGGGGCTTTAAAGTAATAAAATACGATATATGTTATTCTGCTTTCACAGTTGAATACATGGTACATGATACTCAGCTTTTTGTATATACATGTTTGTGTGGACACAATTGCTAGTGGCGGTGATATGTGTGCTATGCTGAAGTTTTTTTCTGGACTACAGTTTGATTTATTTAAGAAATTATAGGATAATATATGGATTAATGTCATGAAAGAGATCTTTCATGTTGCTTGTTTGGTTGGTTGATTTTGTTTAGCATGTTGGAATTTATGTGTACCCCGGTGTACTAGTAAGCCAGCCAAAATAAGCTGACTCATTTTATAGTTTACCAATAGAAGGGTTAACCAATCAGAAAGCTCAAAATATTCAATGCGACGTGTATAAAGGCGGCCATATTTTTCCCAAATATGCACTGCCAGCCCTTGATAACCCGGACGAGGCTCCACCGAAGGGCAGAGTCTCGTTCGGGGAGGTTGACTGTCCCTGAACCCGTTTATCCGCGTTCGGATAGGGAATATTTTTGGACGAGCCTACGGGAACGGGGATCCCGCTTTATCCCGGCTTTGTGCCACATTTAACCCTCGTGGTGGGTGATGGCTAAATATCACTGCCAACCTTTGATAACCCGGACGAGGCTCCACTGAAGCCCGTAGTCTTGGCCAAAAATATCCCCATAGAACCCGCATAAACGGGTTTGGGTTTGTCTACCTACCCGGACGAAACTCAGTCCTTCGGCAAAGCTTCGTCCGGGTTACTCTCTGCCAAAGCAGAGAGTTCGACAGAAGACGCAAACAGTCAGAAGACTGCTTGTTGACTGCCGATATTTAACAGGTCCCCCACGTGGAATGTATGTGGCACAAGGTCGAGTTTAACGTGGGTTTCTCCGAGCCCGTAGGCTCGGCCAAAAATATTCCCTTTGAACCCACATAAGCGGGTTAGGGGTCTGTCTACATCCCCGGACGAAAACCCTGCCCTTCGGCAAAGACTCGTCCGGGTTCCTCTCTGCCAAAGCAGAGAGTTCGACAGAAGTCGCACACAGTCAGAGATTGCGGGTCGACTGACCTCCTTCGGAAGTCTCGCAGGTTAGTATTTATGAAGGAGGAAGAGTTCATTTTAATGTAGATAGGTCACTATAATATTATCCATTCATACAAGCTCGTCAGCTATCTCTCTTGCCCTCAATATGCGCCGTGAGTGTTACGTTTTCCAAGCCCTCATTCCTAATTATGTGTCTAAGGAATTTTAGATGTTTTTTCTGATTCGAAGTGTTCATTCTGCTGCCATTTTTATGATTACCTTGTTGCTTACTCGCTCCGTTCATGAATTTTTTTTTCCTTCTGTAGAACAGCATATCTGATGCCTCTTTCATCATTTGTGGTGAGATTGTCCAACATTATATTATTTACTTTATTCGGGCTGTTATCCTCATCTCCAGTGCATGGAGTATTGCTGCCATATATGGTCTGGAGCCCCTTCCGTTTGCCTCGGGGTTCTTGATAAGATCCAGAAACGGATATGCAGTACAATTGGCCCTGATCTGGTATCTCGTCGGCAGTCGCTCTCTCACAGACTTACCGTCGCCTCCCTCTGTCTTTTTTTTACAAATACTTTCATGGTAATTGCTCCGAGGAGCTGCTTTCACTGATTCCCAGGCTTCATGAATTCAAGCGCCCTACGAGGCTGGCGTCCCGCTCTCACCCTTTCACTGTTGAAACTGTTAAATGTAGTCGTCTTTTCTACTCCAATAGCATCATATCTCGCACCTCTCGCCTGTGGAATTCCCTTCCCTATTCCAGTTTCCCTGAGAGCTATAATCTCCAACTATTCAAATGTAATGTCAATAGACATCTCCAGTTGCCTTGATCTATCCACTATCCCTCTCTTCATCCTTTCCTCTATCACTCCTATTTGCTCTCGCTCCAAATCCTATGTAAACCCTTGCATGCTAGTGGCTTCCAGCCTTGTTTGGGGTGTAATCCTTTAAAAACAATATATTCACAAAGTTTCGGTCATTGTATGCTCCAGCCTTCTTCAGGAGATGGGAATTCCGAACCGAACCCTTTATTTCGTCCACCGAGATAGATTGTTCTAGTTCACGTGCCATGCCTCTTCCGGATATCTCAGTTATTTCCCTTTACCTCAACTCTCTAAGTTTGTTTCACCACTGCGGTGGCCTGGTAGTGAACTCACAACTCTTTGGATCTAATCAATGGATCTAACCAACGTTTTTATCCCCTGGGCCATGTGTGAACCATATGAAGTAGAGCTATATTAGATTTAAATACTGGTTCTCATCCGATCATCGAAGTTAAGCAATGTCGCGCCTGGTCAGTACCTAGATGGGTGACCTGGTGATATAAGCTTGGATGTGCGGATGGTGTAATTAATCAGAGTTCCAATTTCAGTTGTGTTCGTTATATTCACTTATGTGCACATTAACACTTCTCCCGACCCCAGCTATGTGTTAATTAGTAAGACTTGTATTAGTAAAGCATTATCATCTTAAAAAAAGAATTCTCACAATCTAAAAATAATTTCTGGCTTTAAGTAACCCTAAAAGATTGATAAGCTGTACAAATCGAATCTATATATTGTCTGTATATGGAAAGGGATTATTTTTGAGTTATAAAACCACTATAGTAAATACTATAAACATATATATATGGCATAAATAAATATATACTTAATAGATATATTAATCAAAATAAAAAAAAAAATAATAGATTTCTCAGAGCTGCTTTCTCACGCACACACTAATATATCGTACTTTATATACTGCACACCCGTCTTTGTTTATAATTGAAAGGCCAGCCACCGGCGCCAAGCGGTCACTTTGAGAACTAATACGACTCGTTCCGCTAAGCACGCAAATTTTGAAATACATCACCGACGATTTGGAAGTTTTTTTTTTCTGCAGAAATTTTTTTTTTTTGTCTGCAGATTTTGTCCGTTGCATCCGAAGCCCGCTGATGGTGGGTTCCGTAGATGAGAGGTTTGTTTGTATATGTGTATAAATTTCTCATATTGTATATCTGTAAAAGGACAATATATATAGACACAAAAGGAAAGCTTCACGTTAACGACGCGTTTCATCCTCTGAGGGAGTGTATCAAGCCACGTTTACCTTGATAAAGTCCCTAAGGGGACGAAACGCGTCGGCTACGGTAAATTTTCCTTTTATTTTTATTCATATACATACATATAGGACTTTCATACAATTTATATTCTTGTAGGTTACAATTTTTTATGGTACATGTGATAAAAGGGAGAAATTATTCGGTAGTATTACAAGCCCTATCATAGAGAAAAGTCGAACACGTATTGCCCGTTCCAAGGTTCGTGGTGAAGAGATTGAATTTAAAGTATTTTGAAGGGATGTCTCTATTTCCGGTAGGAACAGGTTTTGTGGCATTCTGGGAGTATTTTTATTATTTCATTTTTTTTAATTTAATATATTTTATACAACGTTTTTATATTATTGTTTTATATTTTATATTATTTAAAATTTTCATTATTTTATATTTTATTTTTATTTATTTATAATAATAATGTCGCTACAATTTACAATTAGTCTCTACTGCTTGTACTATGCATAATACATGTACATTGTTAAAAATACACATTTTTCCACAAACTTTTAATTGTACCCTTTTTCCAAATGTATGTTTTGAAAATATAATATATTTCTTAAATGATAGAATTGTATTTGAGGATGGGTCTCTTTTTTCTGCTGGAGGCACGGTGGAGTAATGGATAGCGGCTTGGATTGAGGAATCGGAGAGCCGAGTTCGAATTCGAATTCCAGTCGAATCCATTACATTCACTTACGTGCTAACACCCTTGGGAAAGGTGTGAATCCTCTTCTTCTCCCTCCAGCTATGGGTAAAAAGGTGTGAATCCTTTTCTTCTCCCTCCAGCTATGGGTAAATAGCAGGACAGACTGGGTTCTATAACCTTGGATGGCAACTGGTCTAGGAGAAGGAAAACTCTGAATTCAAACCTGCTCTTAGAGGAGGGTGAATGGAGTCTCTCTGAGCCTTGGTTGGCAATCCATTTAGTGTTGGTGTCATGATAAAAACACCCTTGATAGCCCTAGCGAAGCATCAACAATTCAGCTATTTGACAGGATTATGAACTACACCAATCAAAGTATTGGTGAGTTCAATCTCGCCTGCGGCCGCAAGATGATGATGATGATGCATGTTCCGTCCACAGTAGTCTCATGAGTCTGTAAAACGTCTCTATTGCTTCAAGTCTCCTCTTCATCTGCGAGAAAACTGCCTTGCATTCAAAGCCCTATAGAATGATTGCACTTCAGCACTCTTTTCTTTGTTTATAACGAAATAAAAAAAGTGGTTGCCGAAAAGATTTGAACTCTTTTCCTGTATCTTTGTAAACCCGTTTGACTTGAAGAGCGCCTTACTGCCAATGCTTCATCAAATAAAAGTTCAGACAAGTGTACATTACATTAGTCATTATTTAGATATCAACCGTTCCTGCCACCGGCGTTTCTGTCTCTTTGGTCATTCGATCTGACCGTCATTTCCTGTTCGACCAATCACTGTTTTCACCTATTGTGTTTGAGAAAAGCATTGTCGACTCACTTTATCGATACGACGCATTCGTTAGTGACTGTCTATTTCCTTTTATGTGTCTACTAAAGAAAATATGTCCTTTCAAAATGGCGACGTGTCGACTGATACTTTTTTTCCAGCCTCGTTTCCGTTCGCTCACTTGCTTCCACCATCTTTCAATCATAATGCGTTCAATGGCACCATAATCAACGATGACATGTCGATTCTTTGGTTTTCTTTTCATTTTCTCGTTAATTTTAACGTCCAAATTCTTGCCAGCTTTATTATTTGAAGAAATTTTATTTTTGGTCATATTTCTGATGCTACTTAACAAATATAGGAGGTTACTTTGTGTTTATAAAATCTGAATAGGACCCAAAGTCACAATTTATCGAGTGGTCCGTTTAGATTAGCTGTGATATCCTTAACAAAATTTAGTAAAATTTTTTAAACAATCTTAAGTAAATATATATATATATATATATATATATATATATATATATATATATATATATTAGACCGAAAACATCCGACGTTGACATTATATTAACATTAAAACAGCATAATTTCATATTAGAATTTTTGTTTGTTTTTTCCGTATATTTTTCTTCATATATATATATATATATATATATATATGTGTGTGTGTGTGTGTGTGTGTGTGTGTGCATATATATATATACATATATATATATATATATATATATATATCTATATGTACATATATATCTACATGTATATACATATATATATATGTTCATATATATACATACATATATATATATATATATATATATAGAGAGAGAGAGAGAGAGAGAGAGTGAGAGAGAGGGATAGAGAAAGAGAGAGAGAGATAGATAGATATAGGAAGAAATATAATTTTAAGGTATGCTATATTTATGGCAAAAGTGCTCAATACCGAAGATAGAGCGTATGTAAATATAAAAGTGAACATTGAAGTCAACACTGTTTCATGTTAAACGCAATCATCAGGCCACATGCGTTGTGTTTTTCTCGACTATTTATATATACGTGTCAGTGGTGCATTGTGGCTAGACTGTTGCATTGTGGTTAGTCTATACTGACGGTTAATTTGGCGGGAGTGGTTTGTTAATTACTTTATGATTTACTTTATTTATTTAGATTAATTTATTTTACTTGTTTTTGCTTACTTATTTTTATTTTATTTATTTTTATTCATTCTTTATTCTTTTCTGTTTTCGATTTTAAATAACGTAGTAAAATTTGTTTTCATATTTGCATTTTGAGATGAGTTCTGATCGTTTATTTAGTAGTTTGTTTTGGTCTGGGAAGATATATATATATATATATATATATATATATATATATATATATACTATGATAAAATAATGAACAAATAGGAAACGTATAAAACTCTAACATGTTTCACTTTTAAGAGAGCAACAGATAAATAGCGGAAAACACTACATTTTTTTCAATTATGTTTGTCTCAGTTCTCATTGGTCAGACACGTGTCACGTGCATTAAAACCGTATATAATTCAATTCTATTTGTATGTATGTTTGTGATGATTCTTGTATGTCTAAGTGGGCAGCAGATGATAATATGTATTCCTAATTGTGTATGTGTGTCTGTCTCGTGGGAGTTCTGATGTTTTCACCTTGATTTCCACGCTAAATAAGAAAGAACATAATTATTTCATGAGGAAAGTACATTGAGAACTTAATAATGGCATTATTACTGTTGTAGAGTAGTTTTCACAGTGGAGGCTTGTATTTCAATAAGTCGTTCTAAATTAGGTTCGACGTACAAAACGTTAGGAACGTGGAAATGACGCAGCAATCCATTTGTGATGGTTGGTACTTCAATGTCCGATATCGTCTGACTCGCTCAACACCACTGAGCCCAACTGGCGACCGCTACTACTACTACTTATTATATGTTGGATAGTCTATTAATAATAGAATAGGTACGTCAGGTATAACAATTACCAACTACCAACACACGCTTGAAACATTTCAGCCCATTCCCATCAGGGAAAATTATTTCTCACGCCCTCTAAATATTCACGCCTTCATCATTAGATGATTTTAGATGTTGAATTTAAATACACCAACCGAGCCATATGCAGACAAAATGAACAGTTTATCAGCTCACTAAGGCTATTTAGAGGGCGTGAGTAATACGTTTCCCTTTTATACTAACTCGGAACATTTATTCGGTAATTACTTATTACTAACAAGAAGGTATTTAAGAAAAATATTTCCGGTGTTTATGTTGAGAAGTAGGTCAAGCAAAAAACATATACTAGCAGCATGGCCCGGCGTTGCCCGTGCTTGATTCAAAAATCGTACGACTCATACAGCAATCGCTATCACTTGACTTAAAATATTTTTGCCCTTCCTTGCCTTTAAAATAGTGCCCATTGCCGTGTTGATGTTGCTACATGCCTTACTTCTTGCCTATCTCACACTGCGAATTTTTTCCAAGCTCTATACTAAACATTAAATCTGTTACAAAAAAAGAACTAAACAAAATGAACACAAAACGATCAGCTTTAAAAAAGGACTCGTAACTGGAAAAACCGAATGAAAAAAGAATGTTAACAACAAATACTTGTTTTATACCCAACCCAGTTCTGCGGAATCAGAATCAACGTTGAGTTTAAGCAAGCGAATGAGCCAATTGGAGTAAAGTGCCATGCAGATTTAAATTTTTCCCACTTGTGACGAATGCAATATCGATTTTTTTTTTGGGATGCTAGCATGCTCGTTAACATTCGTGTCAGTCAGCTGTTG